GGCGGGGAAATCCGAGATGGGAGAGGGGGGGGAGGGCGGAGAGGTGTCGCGCCTCGACGGCGCCGTCAGAGGCGCCGAGACAGAGAAGCACGCTCGGCTCGTGCGGCGCCTGTGAGCCGGAGAGAGCAAGAGGGGGCGGGAGGGAGGCGGGGGTCGTCGCTTCCAAGGCGACACACCTCTGCCACCGCGGGGCTCATCATCTCGACCAATCTCGGCCCATCTCGGCCCATCTCGGCCCATCTCGGCCCATCTCGCCCACATCTCCGCCCCTCTCCCCCTCTCTCTCCCTCTCGGCCCCTCTCTCCCTCTCCGCCCCTCGCGGCGCCTCAGGCGGAGCAGCAGGCGCGTGCGGAGGGACGAGGGAGAGGGAGAGCGCGCAGACGGGGGCCGCGGCGGGGGAGAGGAGGGCGGCGAGGCGCGTCCGCGAGAGCATGTCGACGAGGACGACGCTCTGGTCCGCGGCCGCCGACGCGCACAGAGACGTCTGCGCGCCGCATGCCTCGGCCGCAAGGAGCGCGAGCGCCGTCACCGGCGCCGCATGCGAGCCGTCGTGGAAGCAGGCGCTGTGGTGCAGCGCTGCGGGTCCGCCGCCGCCGCCGCCGCCGATCCGCCAGAAGCAGACGGTCCCGTCGACCGCGCCGAACGCGCCGAACGAGCCGCACCGAGACACGCACAGCGCAGAGATGGGCGCAGGCGCGTCGAGCGACTCGAGGCGCTGCACGGCAGAGGGGCGGGCGACGCACGCGGCGGCGGCGTCGGCGACGGGTTCGCTCGCCGCGCACGGCAGCCGGTGCACCAGCAGCGTGCCGGCCAGCACGCGCTCCTGGCGGGGCGGGCGTCGGCCGGGGTGAGTGCAGCCGGCCGAGGAGAGGTCCTGAGGCGGGGCGACGGCACCGTGTGGCGCAGGACGATGAGGACGCCGCCGGCGGCGCCGGGGAGGAAGGCCCAGTGCGACCACGCCGCATCGACCGGCACCAGCGAGGGCCGACGTGGCGGACCCGCTGCGGCGGCGGCTCCCTTTGTCGCCTCAGTGTGGAGCTGCAGCCGGAGAGGGCGGCTGCCCGGCTGCGAGTAGACGAAGGAGCCGTCGTCGTGCGAGACGCCGACCGCGTCGGCCACGTTGGGGTCCCAACGCGCGCAACGCGCCGCCGAGCCGGAGGCGGGGGAGGGCGCGAGGTACATAATACCTACCCGTGCGCCAACTGGCATTGCCTGAAGCCAACCGGCCGAAATGTGGGCTGAAAAGAAAAACACACCGCGACATCATGATCACATGAGCACATGTCTAGACGTTTTCGAGCCATCCGCCTCTCTATGTGACGGAGCCCTTACTACCCGCCTCCCCAGCTCCCTCCATAACAGGCCACACGTGAAGGTGGTTCGCTTCCCCGGCGGCCGCGCACGCGCAGCTGCGGGGGCGCGGCCGACGACGCGGCGACGCGAGCGGCGCGGCGCGCGCTCAGCCAAGCTTGGTCTTGATGGCGGCGACGCACTCGGCCGGCGTCGTCATCGACTCCGCCTCCTCGTCGGGGATCTCAATGTCGAACGCCTCCTCGATCGCCATGATGAGCTCGACTGCGTCGAGGCTGTCCGCGCCGAGGTCCTCGGTGAAGCTGGACGTGGGGGTGACGCTCCCGGCTTCGACGCCGAGCTGCAGCGAGGGGACGGGAGGGCGGTGAGGGCGTCGAGGCCGCGGGGGGCGAGGTTGGCGGGGATGCAGGGCGCAGGCAGCCAGAGACGGGCGGGTGGTGAGGCGGCTGCAGGGCGAGACGCTGCGGTTCTGTCGCGAGCGAGGGTGGTCGCTAGCCTGCTCCGCGATGATACCCTTCACCTTATCCTCAACCTCATCCATCACAACCATGCCCGTGCGCGCGGCCGTTGGCCGAGCCAGGTGGCTGCTGCGGGTCTGCGCGCGGGGGGAGCGGCCGGCAGTGAGGGCACAGCGGCGGGTGCGTTGGCGCGGAGCGTGGCGGAGGAAAGAAAGGAAGAAGGGCTGCAGGGAAGGACTGCGCGGGCATTGCCAAGGCTGCCACAGGGCGGCAGTGGCAGGCACCCACGGCGCATCCGCACACAAGAGAGTCTGGGAGCGGCGCAGGGTGGCGTCAACCTGCGTCATCGGCGCGTTGAACGCGCCGGCGGAGGCGACGAGCGCGGCGATCGTGAGGCGGTAGAGCATTGTGGTCTGCGCGGGAGTGGGAGGCCGAGGCTGAGACTGCAGAACAAACGGAGAATGACGGTGCCGGCTGCGCTATTTGGCAGCGCGCGCGCTGCGGAACGTGGTTCCGCACGTCCCAGCAGCCAGCACGCGGAGTGGCGGCCCGAGTGCGTGTGCGTGTGTGGCGTTTGGCGGACGGCGCTGGTCGAGAAGCGGGGAGGGCCAGTGTAATGCATGGCTAGGAGCGCGAGCTCACGAGAAGCTGAGAGAGAGACACAAAAAATGAAGAAAATCCCCGTGTGCCGCCGTTGCGCCCCCTTTCACCGTAGACAGAACTGACGAGCCCACAGCTAGGAAAACTCCTGTGGGAGAAAATGCGGGTGGTGAAGAATCTTCAGGTCAAAAGGCCCGAAAAAATTCTTCATCCAAGCTCTTGTTTGGGGGATTGATAAACCGCCGAGCCCAAATCTCTGTGTGTCACACATTTCTCGTTGGCTTCTAAAAATCTCTCTCCGCCTCCGAGGAGCCTACAGTCTCGTATGCAATTTCCTGCGGCCAGTCTGCCACTAACTCCGAGCGAGACGTCGGATA